AACAAAGTCTTAAAATTTAAAGACCACCATCAACAAGTGCAGGAATCATGTGAATTGTATAAAATTCTTGAAGTGAAAGAAGATTTGGTTCCCATGTGCAGTCTTTCTGGATTGCCAACACAACAGTTTGCATTGTTGTCCAAACCACAAAGTAACAGATTTGCTTCCCAGTTATAAACAGCTGACCCTGGACTTGATGCCAGTAGTGGTGGGATTGTTTTAAACAATAGCCAGCATCTCTCTTTACTAAACAGAACTTAGGGTCTTTAACAGCCTCCTCAATTGTTGAATTGCGATGTGTGTAAGGGCATTTGACTTCAATGATCGCATTGTCATCAACAAGTCCATCTGGTGATGCACCCAAAACACCAGACTTGTGTAGCCAAAGGCCACAATCCTTTACTACTTTCATTGTTAATTTGGTGAAGGCCTTTATTCCTTCTTTCTCGTTAACGACACCCCATCGAACAGCCTGCACTCGAGAGATGTCGTATTCTCCAAGAACACGCTTGATAAGGGAAGGAGTGACTCTTTTTGCTTCAAGAACTGGACCAAAATTGCTAGCAGTCAAACGTCCTTTTCTCACCACATGCCACTCTCCACATTCACGTTGCTCTTTCGTGATCTCACAGACTGATTTCACTTGCTGCTCACTTACTTTCAATTTTTCCAACAAGAAATTTGTATCAAGTCCGCTTTCAACAAACTCTCTCGATAAAATGATTTCTTCGACTGTGGAGATCGGCAGACGATTCTCTTTGTCAGGTTCGGGGCTCAAAAGCCATAACATTCCTGTGAACTCGCCGTATCTCTTCAGCTTGTTCCGTAGCCATTCTCTGTCCTCATCTGTAGTTTTTCGTTTTAGGACTTTAGTTTCTTTGGGTGGATACAGATCTTCTACCGTTTTAACCACCTCGGATGCCTTTTGTTTCTTCCACTGACATTCGATGTCAGTTCTACTTAAGTTGTGGTAGCCATGAAGGAACAGAGCTACAGCGTGACTACACTTTGAACCGCCACGAGGGCACTCGCATTCTGTGGAACGTATTTCGTTTTCTTGAAGATATATCTGCGAAGGAAAGAGAAAAAGAAATATAAGCTTACTTTTCAAGATTTCCTTTAAACGAAGATTCGAAATCACTTAATTTAAATAAGTTTTGGTTTGGCGATGTTAACGGATAGACATCGAGTAATAGAAATTTTACACTTACTGTGACTTTATACGTCGTACTTTTCATGCTCGCTTGCACTGACCCTCTGATAATTCCATCACAATAGCAAAAAGATAGAACGTGTCCAGATTGGTAATGGTTTTCGCCACGGTTTAAAGATTTAGGCTCATCTGAGAAGTATTTTGCGAACGATGTTATCGACAACGCCGCCATGTTAAACACATGTGAGTTTGTTTAGATCCAGCAGAAATGCAACCATGGAAACGTGACGTCAGGGCTTCGGTACTCTATTCTTGACGTAAGTTA